AGCACTGAGGTCCCCATCAACTTTTGTCAGCTCGTCCTTTATGTCCATTGAATGGAACATTCTGGAAAGCCATCTCCATTCCTTGAGCTCCCCCAACACCTCCCTTGCACTGCAAGGTAACGACAAGAAAATACACAGAATAAGTAGAGAAGGAGGCAACAAACCCTTGGCACTGGCCTCTTTTTCGGGCAAAGTGGGTGCTGGACCTGGTACTCAAATGCCAGTACAAGTCTTTACCAGCCAGAACTAGCACTTGCTTTGTACTTTACTGTTCCTCTGTTGTACACACAGACACGCCTGAAAGCTGTTAAATGTCCGATGGACAGAGATGCCAAAAATGACAACCAGAAACAGTTTATGTTGCTACATGCTATTGCACATGCACTAACACTTAGCATCTTATCTAACAATAGTTTTACATAAATCCAATATGTCAAATTCCTCTGTGATATCTGAACATCTTAATCAAGGACCAAGAACTGAACTGAATGCATGCAGTCCCTGTGAAAATTGAAAGCATTCATCAAGGCGTGCAGCAGGCAGATCATGGAAATGTAGACCTCATTCAGTTATCTGAATAAAGATGAACTGAATACCCTCACATGTGTCATTCGATGCTGCCTGCACAAGCAATCGATTGATGCAGAAGTGGGACGAGTCTATAAATGAAATCATATGAAAAAGTAATGAACAAATCAAAAAATAAATGAATGAATCAAAAAATGAAAAAATCGAACGGCCTTGGAAACTCGCACGGTGAGTGCCTTTTGAGCCATGTGACAAGATCAATCCACCAGTGGTTGTGTGAGAAATCAATCAATCGTTGGCTCGATCAATCGATCAACAGACGCATCACCAAATCAGTGAGTGTTTAAAATGCATGCCACTTGCACAATCTGCCAATACATTGAGCTACTGATGACCAGGTTAATAACAATTCCATGCTTGAGCAGATTATGCAAGTGGCATTCATGTACGGGTCCTGGGCAACCATGCTGCCTGTCTCTGGATTAGTAAAGACATCATCTGTGCTATTGTTTCTTCGGCCATTGGTTGAAGACAGGGCAGTTCCACATCCACAGTGAGCACATTTTCCACAACATCAAACGGTCTTTTCAGGGGGTACTACTGGTCCAAGACTTGGCATTCCATGGTACTTCGCCACTCCATTGTTCCAAGGGGGTGTCCACAATAAAGATCCCCACAAACAAATAAAAACAACAAGATCTTCAGAAAAGATATTTCCACATCCAAAGTATGGGACATCTTCTGATGAACTCAATGAATCAATTTATCCCTCAAACACCAATCCAGCCCACTGGCCACCCAGGAGGACAATCTATCAACTGCTCCAATACTCAGTCAACTCCAATCACCTATCAGCAATCGAGCACAGTTGGCAAGCTTGCACAATCCATCAACCGATGGATTTGTTGCTCAGCCCCTTCTGCGATCAGCAAGCAAAATACAGCTGTGATAGGACTGGGGAGGCACTTGCACACTGAAATCTGATTTAACATTTTGGAATAAACAAGGAACACAGCAGGCACACCTGGTCAGCTGCTTGTGCACCCCCAGCAGCGCCTCTCTGAGGCCCTCAAACTCGTAGTTCCTCTTGAGCTGTATCTCCTTCAGCACAGTGGCTAGGGTGGAGGTCCTCTCCAGGAGCTGTTCCTTGGCCTCCTCGTTGGTCTTGGTTTGCTTGATGCAGGCCTGGATCTCGAACACGAGGTTGACGAGGTTGGAGACGACCTGGTGAACCAGGATCTCCATCTGTGACATGGAGCACAGGCACTCTGACAAGCAATCGTGGGCATGAAAATTCGATGATAATATGAGTGCATGGGGAGGAGGGGAGGTCGCCCATTTTTTATTTTTATTTATTATTGTGTGCCCTTTCTGCTGCCCTCAGGTAGCTTCTGCATCGTGATCTTTCACAGGTCATGACAGCAGGACGGGGTGGGGGGTTTTGGGTGATCTATGGCTTGATGGGCCGAGTGCTGCACAAGCCTGCACACAAATTTCCCTGTTCGATACACTTGTGAGGCGCTGATGCAACGTGTGACCTTGCTTTATGTTGCTCCAGGCGGAATGCAAGGACTGTCAGTTCAGTTCAGGTGCAGCGAAAAGACCAATACAGCTATTTGCACAGGCGTGGGTACCCAAAGAATGAATGTGTTCCTGTACAGAAAAGTCGACTTTCAAGGCAGGGTCCTTGGGGGAAAGGACGGCATCCCAGGCGGTCGAGAGCGCTCACTCATTACAGACTAACCCACCTCAAGGTGTTTCAAAGATGGGGCGGCTGCCATGCAGGAACGGGGGCCATGACCAAGGCCAGAAACACCTTGTCGGGAAAATGCGCCGCTGTGCCACGACAAGCCGTAGCGCGCTTGCCCAGCAACTCCCCTCCACGCCCAACCTCGGCCGCATGGCTCCCAAGGACGATGGCCAGCAGAGGAGGCACACCGAGGGACTCCGAAGGGACTCCGGAGAGACATCGCGACATCGCCGTTCCGAATCGATCACCCCGCCGACCGCTCAACGTCCGTCAACGCTCGCACGCTCCCCCACGCCCCGCGGCCGCCCCGCCCATTGCCAACTGCCCATCGGCGACCGCATTTTCGATTCGAAAAAGAAACGAGTCGAAAACGACACCCTTCCGATCCTTGCCGGGCGACACACGCCGGCCAGCGGCGCGCAGAGGCAGCTGAAGGCGCGCCTGGGCCTCAGGGATGGATGCATGCAAGGTTCGCAGCCGAAGCCTTGGGGCCCGGCGCCAACGCAGGGGCCCCAAGAAAGCTCCCGTGCTGATAATTTTGCGGAGTCTCCATATCATGTCTTCTCAGCGTGGAAAAGGGTCTCGCACACAACTGTTTAGGAGAGGGTGCCTTTTGCACGACCAGTTTCTTGCCCTTTCTGTAAAAATCTTACCCCAAAAAGCTCCGGACACAGAAAACTCCGCGCGGGTGCGCTGACCTGTTCAACGCCCGGGGGCGGATGCGCGCGGCATTCAGGCGCTCTGGAACTGGGACACGAGGGGGGCGAGTCGGTGTGGCGCGTCGGCGTACCTTGAGAGCGCGGCCGTCGCGGGTCGCTGCCCTTGTTGACCAGGTCAACGCACCACCCAGCAGCGCGCGAGAGCCGCCTGGTGAGGCGCCTGGAACTGGGTTGGGTGCCTGGCGACGTGCCTGACCCTAGCCTTTGGAATGAGCACGAATTTAGGTCCTAAATACTGGTCTGCGGCCTTGGCAAACCTTGGGGAGGAAAAACTACGTCGGAGGTGCGGGTGTGACGACTATTTTGGGCATCCCCCCTGTCTTACTAAATTTGAGTAAATGTGTTAGTGGGGAGGACCGATTACTGGAGATATGAATTGACTTAATCCTCTGCAGGGTTGATCACACGAGCATGCGCTAAGTTTGATTGTATTGATGTTGTGCCGACCCCTTCAGTTTTTGATGCTATTCAGGTCTCACCATCGAATACAGTCCCAACCGTGCACGACGTCTCTGATAAAGCATGTCCCGGGACCTGGGGCACCAACAAGACAACTCCAAAAGAAAACCAATACAAAACCACCACTGCCACCCCTTCAGGAATGCCTGGCACAAGACTCAACTAGACCACCAATTGCTGCCTAATTGGTGCAAAGTTCCAAGTGAACGAGTTGTTTTCTCTCGTTATTTACGAAGGGACGTTCGTGCGTCATAATCCGTGTGCCGTACGGGCGATCCTAGCAAGGTACATTATTGGCCGAGTCAGCAAATGCGTTCATGGCAATATGTGCCATCGACCCGTCGTAAGATCCACGCGCACATTTGCAAGAGCAGCCAACGATTTAAAGCTTGCTGTTCTCAACAAACAACACAACTGCCCCTGCTTGCAAGTTTGTCCAACGGAATGTTCGAACGATGAATGAACTCTTGGAAATATGAATTGGACGAGTCGTCAACCGACCATTCCCACCCATCCTTGGTCATTTTTGTTCAGGTAATGCCTCCACGTTCATTTTCAGGACATGGAGTCGAACTCCCACTGTCGAAATCAGCAAGCGCCCCGTTCCAAGTACCCAAGTTCGTTTCAAAACTACCCAATGTGATTGTAAATCTTAAACCAACAGATTCCTGATGGCCTTGATCGGCGTCAAGCATCACCCAGCTCAATTCTGATAGAAAACCGCCCCGTGGCTCGCCTTGTGTCGTCCAACCAGGCGAAATGGCAGCATTTTTCCAACTATAAAAGAAAAATGGAGGTTTCCTTTTTCACCTTTTTCGCCTTTTCTTTGCTGATGGGAAATAGGACACAAGGCTTTGGCAGTTTCGCGTTACCGCCCCATTCCACCACTTTCCACCACACCACTCCTAATCTTTCGTTCACACAGAAGCTGATGGCCAATCCCAAGCTTGCCAGAAATCTGGCAGCCCTTCGAATAGGGTTTTCCTCAAGCTCGCCCTGCATTGGCAGCCGCCCATCCCATCCATGCCAATGTGCCAAGCCTCGCGATGGCACTGTGGGTGGTCGCCTATGCCTTCCGCGAACACATGTTGATTGCACAAAGAATGTCACCCCCAGCCATAACTCACTGTCTCGTGACCCAATCGATGACCCATGTTCTATTGAATCGAGGGCCACCACTCCAAGGCATCGTGTGACACCATCAATTCAGCGAAAGAGTGTTCCCTGAAGCCATTCGCGAATGTTGCTGGATCAAACAATGATGATTAGATGGCTGGTTCATGACCCAGTCGATAGGGATTGCCACTAATGGCATCAATGGCCAACATTTGACACAATCAGCAGTTGTCACGTGAAGCTACATCTTAGGTTGGTGACTTGCATCTTCACCCTCATCCAACCGCTCAGGCCAAAATTTGAAAACTACCCTTTCTTGTCAGATGCAGTTAGTCATCTGCAATGCTCAATAAAAAAATAACGCTAATGCTGGTGCAATCCTTTAGCCACGCTGGTAACTCCTTCCAGTACATTAAACAATGAGCTGCAAGTTGCGAGCTTCGACTGACCAAGATGGTCCCCGTCCATCAAGTCGCGCCTGCAAACTCGCATTTGCCCACGCAATCCTCCCTTGGACCACCCCATATGCACGCGCACATCCCACACAGTACACCTTGCGCGGTACCATGCCCTTGTGCAGTCCCTCTTCCCAACCCTGGTCGCAAAAACCTCCTCGACGCTGTGGCGTGCAGCACTCGGCCGCTGGTCGAAGCATGCGGCACCTTCCGCCCTCATCCTTCTTCACAATGCTGCGAAAGATCGCCTGTTGGGCAGTCTCCCCCATCGCCCAATCCCGTCGTCAATCCAGCAGGGTTGTGGTCCTTCCGCCCGTTTCCGCCCGTTCCGCTCTCCGCGCGGGATACGCCACGGCGACATGACACGGGACCCAGTGCAGAGTCCCACACGGAATCCAATACGGAATCCGATACGGAATCCCATACGGAATCCCCATACGGCGCCCTTCCTCAGCATCCTGCCGATCGAATCGCAGGGCACCCCATCTCCCACCACCCCCCGCCTCTCAACGCGCACTCCGCGGAACAGAGCACAAAAGAACGAAAACGGAACAGAAGGCAGCCGCGGTAGAAAGGCCTGGCTCCACAAACCCAGAGAGTGGAGATTCCCGACCTGGTTGTCTGGATTTTGGTTGGTGCTCGCTCCGCGCGGCCCGCGGAACAGAGCAGAACAGCGTCAAAACAGAACAGAAGGCGGCCGCGGCAGAGACCTGGTTGCGCATCCCCGAGGAGTGGACATTCCCGCCCGGGATCATGTCTAGGATTTGGTGGGCCCGCACTCCGCGATTCCCACGTCCTCCAACTCCTCCCACCCCTCCTCTCCGCCGCCCGGGCCCCAGCCGACGTCTCGCGTCACCACGCGCCACCAGACCGCGCAGAAGACGGCGGCCATCGCCGCGTGGCCCGCCATCCGCTTCACGCCCACATGACCCCACCACTGGCCCTTCACCGAATCCAGTCCCTCACGCATCAAATGTACTCCCCCGCCAGCGCCGCGGTGCCGCTTCAAAAACTCCTCTCTGGACCGCGCCTCGGCGAGCCACACGAGGTACGTCACTCCCAGCAGGCAAACCACCACGTAGGCCTGTGACAGGACATGGAAACAGGCATCCTGTGACCCTGGCGGTGCTCTGAGAGGCACCTCGCGCCAGTACATTGCCTCCAGGAGGGGCTGCGAAGCCATTTCAAGCCATCTCCACGCGTCCAGCGCCACGTCCCTGCCGGAGGGGATCCCGCATGCCACGCCGCAGAAGCCCGGGGCGCGCATTCGGACCATGAGCGCCACGGACGCGGCCTGGAGGCCCATCTGCTGCTCGAGTGCCAGGCTGCCCGCCAGGGAGACGATGAACAGGAACGGGATCCCCGACCCCACCACGTAGAAGGCCAGCAGCGCGATTGCAGAAGACCCCTCCTCAGGCGCGGGAAACCAGTCAGAGTACCAGTACCGTGAGGCCACAGGAATCAGCAGCCCGACAGTGAAAACCGACATCGCCGTCCTGACCGCCCTGTACGTCGCCATGCTAGATGCATCACACCCCCTTCGTGCCGCCCATGCTCCCAGCAGCGCCTGGCCGAGCGCGCTTGCCAGCAGGGCCAGCACTCCCACAGTGGATGGGCTGGTCGCGCCGTTGAGGGATTGGTGGCAACCGGCGTGGCCCCTCGCGGTCAGGGAAGTTCGCGGCGGCCTGTGCCCGGTGTGTACTGCGCCCCAGAAAGGGCAGCATGATCGACCAAGCGCGGGGGGAGAGAGTAACAAAGGGAGAGCGAAAGAGAGGGTGGCCAGGGTTCTTTCGGCGGGGGACTGGCCAGGAGTTGGGGGATGGGGAACCGGATGTGCGCAATGGCCGCAGGGATTCGATCAGCGGGGCTGGATCGGCGAAAGGGGGGCCGGGGGCCGGCGGCGGGTGCGGCTGGCCGGGAGTTGGGGGCGAAGGCCGGGGCCGCTGGTGGCGGGGGCGGCCAGCTGGACCCGTGCGGAGGGTTCACCCGGGCGCTGATGAATCCGCGGGCCAGAGCGCTTCAGGTGGGTGACTGGGGGCGTCAAAGTAGGCCGCGGTCGCGTGCAAGCGCGCTGCTCTGGGGTGGTGGCGGGAGACCAGTCTCTGACAAGTCAGTCATCCGCCCGGGGGCATCTCCGCTGACGGTCGCTCGGTAGGCATGACGCGCTTGGTGTGGCGATTTTCTGAGTACCCCTCCGGAACCGCGTACCTTGTCATTAAGTCCAATTACGATCTGATGGCCAACACTGCCAGTACGGTTTTGATGTCGCGAGCACGTGAGTGCTTAGAAGACGGTATGGAGACGGCGTGAATATGCAGGGAAGGAAGCCCTCAACGTCCAACTTGATGGCTCCGAACTCCTGAAGCCGAGCGGGGCCTTTTCCAATTGTTGAAGATGCCCCAGACCCGATGCCTTGATGCGTGGAGACCAGACGCCGTAGCCTTGAAGATGAGCCATGCCAATTGCGAGCC